GTCATTCGTGGCTGCCGCAGATGCATTCCAAAAAGGAGTGTTGTTATTGAAGTGTAGGTGACCAGCTGGTGGTTGTTTTGGTGCAGAAGCTCTCAAAAATGGCGGAAATTTAGATGAAGAAGGAAATAATACACCCGTGCTGTCCCCATAGCTAGTTGGGTACGGTCCTGGTCCCTGATAATTCACTGCGGGATTTTCATAAGTGGATTGATGTGGCTGATTATCGGATAATAACAATCCATAGGCAGCGGAATCCATCTGGAAACTCGTCATTAAGCCCTGTGATATTGATCCTGCGGTGTCGTTAGAGCTCATTTGAGAACTGTATTCCTGCTGGTCTAAAGAGAAACCCCGGTTGATTTGCTTAAAATCATTCATAATTGAAGAATCCTCAGCACTGCCGGAATATATTTTCTGCCTGGCCCACTGGTCTTGAGAAGATGCTGCCCTAGCTTCTTGCTGAAAATTCGTATCTTCTTGAAGCATAGCCTTTTCACTTCTACTGTCCAAATTAACCCCAGAAAAATTAATCTAAATACAAATTCTAAATTTCCATGCAAGAGAGGAAAAAACACCTAGAAATATTCATAAGACTACTTACAGTAGAGAGTGATTCCAATCCATTCCTTGAGATGAAAGTCCTAGTCCCATCATTTGTAAATTGGGATCCCGCTCTTGCAACTTGTTGGAAAATGGAAAAACTGATGAGGAATTCATGGAAGACCGTGGTTTGATCTCGGATATTTCCGTCGGCCATTCAAAGGTTGACGTGTTGTTGTTATTTAACGTTGTAGAAATCGAAGATTGTGTTGATGAAGTAGTCTCAAATCTGTCTCTTGATATATCCCACCAGTTACCAGTACTGCCTAGTTGAAATTCATCCGCCATGGCTCCTGCTGCTGAAAAGCTCAACTCCTTTATTCTTTCAATCACTTGATTAATTTCTAACTTTTAAGCTAGAGGCTTATGTTTCAAGCCTCTTTCTCTTTCTCTTCCTCTCTCTCTAGATTTGATGTTCTTGGCTTCAATTTATAAAAGGAGATAAACCGATTCGCAGCATCTGGATATTTATACTATCAAGCAAAGGAATAAATGGTCGAAATTTGGTTGACTTGTGTAAGACTGATTAGACAAACGAAAGAAAGTCACATTTTATTTTGGCAATTTTTGGTATATAAAAAATTATTGAGAATTCTCTTGATGCTTTATTGCATTAATGATAATAAAGTGGCCACAAACTCAGATAATTTTTCTTGTATAGGTAGTGATGGCGAGAAAACTCGTTCCAACGGGGCCACACCCTGTATGGGGCCAAAAAAACCCCTTCCCGACTAGTTAGCAGGGCGGGGCGTAACTTGCCGCCCTGTGAAGAGGAAAATAAATTAAAAATAATTTTATTTTTGAAATTGATGCAACTATTTCCAGTATTTTGTAATTAGTAGGAGTATTTAACCCATTATAGTTACAAGGGGATCAAATGCAATAGTGATGATGATCTATCTTTTCTAATTTTAAAATTTTGAAAATGTAAAAAAAATAATAATAATAATAAATAAATAAAAGGGTAGCAAACGGGGCAAGTCGTCGTCTCGCTCTGAACCTGACCTACTGCCATCCCTATGTGTAGGCTTCTCTAGACAATTTAATTTAGTGCAAGTTATGTTTTTGCTTAAAAGAAACAATAATAACAACCACCACCACCANTTTTTTTTTTTCAAAGAATGAGACTCAAACAAGGGCATAGTGTTAGATAATGTACTTGTGTAGAGGACTTATGAAGCATGGATACTTACAGCGGAGTGTTATCATTTGATACATGTTAGACATTCATATTCGAGTAATTTGAAAATACCATATTTTTTGAGGTGATCATACTTTTTATTCTCACATTTTGTAGGATCTACAATCATTATCCACTTATTATACACAATCTCTATAAGATCTACAATCTATAACACTTTCAAGCATATCCTAATATGAAAAAAATAGACAATAATTTGGTTAAGTTTCAAATTTCATACACATTTGCACCGTCTTAGACGTTATATATGGGAGTTTAGATTGTTGATGTTGGTGCGTGTACGAGGAACAGCTCAATGAACTTCATGGCCATTATTAATGATCGTCGGCTCGATATGTTTGCTTGGCACGGGAATTTCCATTGAACCACATGGCTGCAACTTAAGATATAGGTATAACAAATTAAGCTTTGCTGATTCAAGGCACAAAGAAATGAGCTCATGCTTCTCTTTACCGTCCAGTGGAAGCATTTCAATGTGACCATTCGATGAAAAGCACAAAACCATGGTTGATAGGCCCTGCTCCCATGTCCTCCCCTTTGTTATTCAAAAAGAAACAAGAAACCCTCTAGAGGTGGGGGTAGGGTACTGGGACATGGGCCAACCCCTCACTTCCACTAACATATTCCAGACATATAAACAATTGAAAAGTGATATTTCTAATCAAATGATCACACAACACACTCACTCACTCCTGTTCTGGAATTCAATTATTCCTTCATTCCTTTACAACTAAAGTAAATGCCAGCTCTATGCACGAAACAGATTCAGAAACTAAAGCTCCTTTATCAACTAAATTCAGCTACAGACAACAAATTCCTTCTAAACTAACGCCAACACTTTCTCTAGTTTTAGTACCTCTACTCATTATTCTAACCAAGCTTTAATAATAATTCTTCAATTATTACAGCACTATTAATTTAATTTGCCCAAAGGTCATTTCCTAATCTTTTATAGGGTTTGATATTATCTTGATGTTTGTTTGATCATCTTGTGCTTCTTCATCTGTAAGTCCCTCCAAATGTAGGATTCCAAAAATCGACTGTTGTTCCATGTGTGAGTGTGACGGGGAAAGTGCTAGAAACTGGTACTAAACATAGCCCTCGACTTTTAAGATCTTGCGCTCGCCCTTGATCTGGATCATTGGATCCATCCGAGTTCTACAAAATATATAAGAAAAATGTTCTAGAATGGATAAGCTTAATTTAATAACTGGTAACAAAGAACAAAATGAAATTGAATACCAGCTGGTGCTGTATGGAAGCTTCACTTTTCAAATATGGCGTACTTAACATCTGAGTATGTATATAAGAACACATATTTAGAACAACAAATTACTTATTATACATAATTTAATGAGGTTAACAAGTTGTTTGATATATACTTACATTGACTTGATCATGGAGAAACTTTATATATTCGATAGCTTCAGAAAGCACGGATGCTGTATCCGTCTGAGAAATAAAATTTATTTTTAATCAATAATCAAAAATTATCTTATCTTTGAGAAAAAGTGAAGAAAATTTTCTTAAGTTACCTTTCCGAAAGGTGAAACTAATTGTTGAAGTGCAGTGACCCTGTCCCCCATCTTCTCTTTCCTTACCTAATCAAGAGCAAAACAAGGCTACAAGTTGTTATGACTGAAAAGAAAAAGGTGAAATTTAAAGCAATATATTGTTCAAAACCTTATTA